CCTCTTTTATATATATATATATATATATATATATATATATATATATATATATATATATATATAACTTTATTAATCCCAGAGGGAATGTCGTTTGTTATAGCAGCACAAAGTACAGTAAAGAGCAAAACATGAGCAAACGTATTGCTGTACACTATACAGATGCATAAATAGAATAATTAAAAAAATAATAAAATAATGATTTCTCTGTTTGCTGAATTTATTTATGGTCTGTGCAAAAGTTATTTTTATATATATATTTATGTGTGTAAATATGATTTTTTTCCAATATGTTAAACTCAACAAATAAATTGAAACTGCGTACTTCAGTTTGCAGAAAAAAAGGTTAAATATAAGTTTGTTTCTATTAGAGAATGTGTTTATTTTATCACTTAGAAAATTTTATCACTTAGAAAATTTGTAATAAAAAAGTGTTTAAACTTTTTGCATACGAATGTCTGTGTGCGCGCGTGTGTGCGTGTGTTTGTACACACTAACCTGCTGTAGGCTAAATATATGTAAAAGTAATATCACCAAAAACTAATATAAAATGGTCTGTTTTTGCAGCTTAGTTTCCATATCTGGACTGTGTGGATTTGGGAGTGAAAAGTTTTGAAACTTTAACAGTGTTTACATGCTACATTAAACTCCACCTTAAACACAAGAAAAATCAGTGTTCTGTGATTTGGGCCTTTTAAAGAATACTGTGCTTTGTGAACTCTCTGTGCCCACGTTGTGTTTGTGGCTCACAGAAATAAGCCCACATTGTCTCTTCACAGTAACTGCTGGTGTTCTGTGCAAAATGTTTTACTCGTTACTCTTCGGACCGTCACGTAAGTATCAGAGATTTCCAGTAGACGTTTATGCGGGTATTTCATCTTTCATTCAGCTTCTCTTATCTTCCATGCTGAGCCCACTGCATCTATAGTTCATACACTGCGAACATCAGATGCATTCGTGAATTAATTTGAACATTATTCTCTTTCATTCTGATACCAGCATCAACGTTTTTGCTTTCATCTTTGACGATTGATGGAAATATGCTACTGTTTAAATGTTTGGAAGCATCATTCAAACGGTTGGCATCACTGTTATCTTTAATATAAAAAACAGGCCAGCTGCTTGCGTGCCGTATTTTTTAAGTACGGCACGCTGTAACATTTTTAAATAAGCTATTTTTGTTCGGTCATATAGCTATAATAAAATATAGAGTTTTAAATGTAAACAAAAAATCTTAATGGTCATATTTAAGCAAGTAAGACAAATGCAATTAATTACTACAAAATATCCCTGCACAAAACAATGTGATTTAATAAATGAACTAATTTTAATTGTTTGACAGCCCTATTGCAGATGCATCTCTTGTCTAGCTTATAATGTTTAAGTCTATACTGTAAGTTGTTACTATCATATAAAATCACAACAAATATAAATTTGAAAAGTGATTTCAACCTTTTGCATGATGGTATATATGCGAATTGCATACCTCAGATCATTGTTATGGATCAAGAGAAGTAGTAATATCTTGATATTGCAAACAAAGAATTAATAGACCCTGCCTACTCCCAGTTTCAGACATGGGGTTTATTTTTCTTCTGTTCTTCGCCTGAGTGGTCCAATTTTCCATTTGCAGTTATTCAAAACATGTACACCAAATTCCAAGAAAAAGTGGAGGCAGGCAAGCTCTACACATCATTATATTGTGATGTATTTTATCTGTTCTAGTTCTCTACCAGTGATAATCTTTTCCAGCTTTGATGAGACACATCTAGAAACATTCATAGACACATATCTTGCTGAGGACCACTTCAGTGTGGAATGGCTGGACTGAAAATAATGCAGTGTTTCTGCTGTTGTTGGGAAGGTGTCAGGTTGCCATGACTAGAAAAGGAAGCCTCAGCTGTTTTCCAATCCCTCTTCCCTCTGCCACAGTCGGTCTGGAGAGTTATTAACGCAATTGATCTATTGCAAAATTCTGCCCTATCTCCCTTAGTTACTGTTGCTGTTTCCATCCAACTTTCAGCTCAGGCCTCATGGTAGCGTCTGTAGCCCTTGTACAGACTCAAACGCTCAGTTGCACAGGAACATTTAGAAGCACACACAGGAGCACCTCTGAAGACATGTTAGCATTTCAAAATAAATATGTTTACATTAATCAAACCAGGGAATCTTTTTAGGGACTGGTTCCTATATTGTCTAATAAGGAGTAAGTTTGTTCTAAGAAACTGGAGTTACTGGAATTAGTCACTGGAGTTAGTCAGTGCAGTGTTAGGTGCTGAGCTGGACTCGTCATCTTTTTTATTATTTATCTTTTAGACAGACTGTTTTTGATAAAAAATGTGAGCAGTACCCAGTACTGTTAGATTAGATTAGATTCAACTTTGTGATTGTGCAGAGTACAGGTACAGAGCCAATGAAATGCAGTTAGCATCTAACCAAAAGTATAAAATATATAGATATATATTTAGATTTAATATACAAGTTTAAATATACATTTATACAGAGTGAGTTAAGAGAGCAAATGTAGGTTGTATGTACTGTGAGAGCAGCATATGTAAAACGATAAGTACATACATGTAAATACATGTACAGTACAGTGACTGTCTGTGCAAATATGAATAGTGCAATAATAGCAGGACATAAAGTACAATCTGATTAAGCTCATTTATCAAGCTATGAGGAGCAGAGTTAAGAAAAGCTACTAGTTACCTGATTTTAACATAGCGTTGCAGATATTGTATGAAAATTAGTGTTATTGAATAGAGTAACCCAGATAAAGCTTTATCTCAGGGCCAAGATAAGTCTGCATGTTAATAGGTTTGGCACTGAACTGTGTGTGGGCTTCCACATAGCTATTTTGAAATGTTTTTAGCTTCGGAAATAAACATAGCACCACCCTGAGCTTCCTCAGTAACACCTTTTAACATCTCTAATTTGCTGCCACTGCCGTTCTCACTGCAAGTTTTTTGTGAGGAGTTTCATCTTCGCTTCATGGAGGAAGTAGCATTTAGAGATGGTTGTGATTTGAAGTGTGTCAATTGTTATCTTGTAAGCGGTTAATGAGGTCAAGCAAAGAACTAGTAAACTGTGTGAGAACTCTCAGAATTGGATGTGGCTTGTATACCTTGAGCTAATAATTGTAAATCTTGTACTTGACATCTTGGGTGGCAACAGAGTATGAGTTAACTAACCATGGTTTGCTATTGTGACTCTAAGCCTGGCTTATCTTCAGTTGCTGCCACTGGTCCCCACAGATGGTACTGGACTTTCCACTCACTGAATGAACTCGCTGAAAGCTCTGCGAGGCTTCTGTGCAGTGGTGTGTTCTCTGTGAATGTGATAGACCTGTTGCCAAGTTGGATGGAGCCATGATGAAGAAACAGTCTGTGTGTGGCCAAGTGTGTTGGAGGAGGGGTTTCTGGAAGTTATGACACTGGCCATCAATCACTCCACAGTAGTATGTGACTAATTTGCTGCTCTTTGAAATCTGATATTAACTGGATGAAAGAACCTTCAAACGCACAGTGAAATCTGTGCAGAGTTCTGAATGGAGGATGTTTGCATGTTCCTGTTAACACGATTCCTTTAAATTCTCCTGCAAACATTTGTGTTTTATTGTCAGAGGATGAAGAGGGAAAGAGATGAAACCAAGGGTTCTGGAAGCCGTCTCAGCTCAGCTGGTTATCATTAGAGACAGTGAGAACCGATCCTTTGGGGGCTGTGCTGTTTCAGAGCCCAGCATCTCCCTGGCTCTGCTTCTTCCTCTAATTCAATCCCACGCTGGTATTAAAGCACCCTCCTCCAGTCAGCCATTATTTAACTGATTTGTTTACTGAGCTGGGTTTATGTCTGTTCTGTTTTGCATTAGGATTTTGTATGGGTCTTTTTCCAATGTTAAAGGAACAGCCCTTCAATCGAACCCACATGTTCTATTTGAAACTGGGAAGTTTTGGAAAGGAGAATTAATGCCATATTTTATAGTTCTAGGGGGCCCATCTTACGGTAAGAGTTAATGGTCAGTGGCAGCCCATAAGGCCAACATCCGCTAGAGTGGATGTTTTTAAGGGCCCAATTATATAATGTTTATGGAACAGTGGTGCTGCTGTGACACAGTGTTAATTGCAAATATTGCGTTAGAAAATCAGATTTTAGGCTGACAGTGCAGTGTTAGGAAGGTTGCCAGATATTTTTACATGCTTTTTAAATTCTGTGATTTATGGGATTGCGCTAATGCCAAAAATGAGAATGAAAGAGTGAAAATTGAAGCACACTTAAATATACTGGACTGTGTTCTTTCACTTCTTTAACCATAGATTGGATAAATAGTAAAATGCAGAAGTTTTGAAACCCCCTGCCAAATTGCATGTTTTGTTGATTTTGAAGTGCAAATAAGTACACATCCTCTACAGGTCTTCAATATGACGTTTTAGCATATTTTAGTCCACCACTTCTATTTTATTTTATTTTAGCACATTGGAAAAAATAAAGCGTTTGTGTTTTCAGTATATTAAATTCAGCAAATAAAAAATAATTCAATCAGCAGAAGTTTGTTCTCTGGAGAGGAGGGTGCATGCTTATTTATATTTATAAAATCAGCAAAACATAACTTCACCGGGGCACCCAAACTTTTGCATACGGATATACATATATTGTTAGTCTCATCAACTCTTTTTTCAATTATTTTATTTTATTTTATTTATTTATTTATACAATATTTGGAATTGATGTCCTCCCTTTATGTTGTATAAACATTGAATGGACAAATTATCATTAACATTAAATGGTCCAAAATGACTATTTAATAAATTCTCACTATATTGACGTAGATTAAAGTTAATTTCTTTCCTCTATAAAGTTAGTAGTTTGAAAATGTGAGCTGTTGTAATGACCGCAGCAATATAGCAATGCACATGGATCTGCTAGTGCCGTGAATGTCTATTGTACTTGAAATGCTAAGCTCAGAGTCTAACCCTTTGTCTTCTCTTGTTCATGTGTCTCTGTAGGAACAATAAGAAAGAGGCTGATCTGGAGTCAGCTCTGGCCAGGCTGAAAGATTTAGAGGCTCTCCTGAACTCCAAGGATGCTTCTCTTTCCACAGCACTGGGGGAGAAGAGGTCTCTGGAGACTGAAGTTAGGGACCTGAAGGCCCAGTTGGCTAAGGTATGAATACCCACTTATTTGGTCCATGTGCTGTTTTATTTTTAAAGGCCCCAAAATCTGTTATTATTTCTGATCTTTATTGTAGCCTAATTGCTTCAGTTGTTTCTTCTTTTTATAGATGTCTTTTGATCTGTTTAATAGTTACAGTTGCTTTTGAGGGAAATGAGGGGACATTTTTAGTGTATTTTAGCAAATAACAGTTGCCCAAGTCTAGAGTAAAACTAATAAAATACGTTAGAGCCTAGTCTTTAATGTGAACATTTTTACTGTTTTCAGACTTGGCTTAGATTTCAGAGCTCATGTCAGTTTAAAGGTTTGTATTGAGGCTCCTAGTGTCTTTTTGTGTGTGTGTGTGTGTGTGTGTGTGCGCGCGCGCATGCGCAGCTGGAAGGCAGTCTGAGTGACGCTAAGAAGCAGCTTCAGGATGAGATGCTGAGGAGGGTGGATGCAGAGAACCGCATCCAGACTCTGAAGGAGGAGCTGGAGTTCCAGAAGAACATCTACTCTGAGGTCAGACATGCTGTGTTATCATTGCTCTGTGAGCGTTACGGTAACTGGTGCAGTGCGCCCCCCAAAGTATACTGACAGTCACTGCATATTTTTTCCCATTTTCAGTTTCCGTTTTGTCCCATTTTAAGAAATTCCTAAGAGAAAATAATTTATTTTGTTAAGAAAAAACAAGAGCACACAGTGTCACAAATTTCCCTTTGGTCATTTCTTTGACCTACATCTTCACTTTAGCCGAGTGAGTTGGTTCACATCTAAAAACAAAAAAACATGAAAGGTTTAACATCCACTCCTCCCTTCGAATACCTGAATAAATTAACAAATGTTTTAATTAGTCTGGATATACCTATATTGAAAGAATGTCCCTTACCCCACCTATAGTGCTCCCCCAGGTTTGTTTCATACCTGTGGGAAACACTGTGGTGTAAGTCATAATAACTCTTAAAAGACTGTTCCGTTCTAATTTCTAAGGGAGGGTGTATGTAGATAAGATTTCATGTTACTGTTATGCATGAAGCATAGTACAATAGATATATAGCTGTAGTGTAGTATAAAGCTGTGGTCTACAAAAATAATGATCGCATGTGAATTACGTGCGTAAGGCTTGGTTTTAGGTGCTTTTTTTTTGGGGGCTTCAAATGAATGCTTAAGATATTCACTAATTCACTATTCAACTTAATCTCTGTCTACTGCTAGTTGATTGTGTTTCCGTGTCGCCAGAAAAAACATGATCTCCAAACTCACACACACAGCTCTTTAGTGTGATATGAGTAATGAGGATTTTTTGTTCTCTTATCAAGAGAAGGGAAATTATTGTCCATGCTAATTAACTGTTAGGTAGATTAGGTTAATAAACTCTGGTGTACTCCTTTAAATAGACAATACTGGGGCGATATATATAGTTTTTTTAATGTTTTGCTGAACTGTAAAGCCAACTTTTTCTCGTTATCATTCATATAGAAATAAACCCAGGTTATATTAATCATGGGCTATAAAACAAACCATAGAAGGCCTGAAAAAGGCCTTTTAAGTGCACTGTAAAGGGAGAGATGCTATGCGAGTAAAAGTTTTATACAAGCCTGCTAAGAGCTCTGTGCCTTCCGTACAGGAGCTGCGGGAGTCCAAGCGCAGACACGAGTCGCGCATGGTGGAGATCGACAGCGGCCGGCAGCAGGAGTTTGAGAGCAAGCTGGCAGAGGCACTGACTGAGCTCCGTGGGCAGCATGAGGCGCAGCTTCGCATCTACAAGGAGGAGATCGAGAAGACCTACAATGCTAAGGTAACAGGAGTAAACCTACTGAGAATCTCTACTTTCTGAGATTCGGTTGGAGTTTCAATTATAACCCAGGCATACTATACTTGTTCTTCAGGTGATAAAAGGTTGTACTGATTAAATGTAGGTGCAGTCCGCACATTAGGAAGTGTACTTCATCACTCACGTGGTTGGTGTCTCCCTCTAGCTGGAGAACGCACGTCAGTCTGCGGATCGGAACAGTCAACTGGTGGGTGCGGCCCATGAGGAGCTGCAGCAGACACGCGTGAGACTGGAGGGCGTGTCCTCTCAGCTTTCTCAGCTCCAGAAACAGGTTAGTATTTAACTTGTTCTTTAATTGTTGTGGCTAGAGGCTGCATGCTGTCAAATTACAGCTGCATGAAAATTAATTATTAACAACTTTAACACTAGAAGCTGCTTTTTGGATTTACGCCATTATTTGTTCATCAGTAAGTGTTATTGTCACCTCCGGAGGTGATTTAAAGATGTATCCACACCCAAGTCCTGATTTGTACTCACCAAATGACTGTCCACTGTAATCAGTTTTACTGTGTTGTATTTTTATAAGAATAACTGCTGATTAGATGAGGGTTTTTGCCCTGTATCAGTTCTAACAAGTCACCTTTTGAACTCTGTATGAGCACCTTGTAGCTGTTACTTTGTTAAACAGCACTTAGTGGTAATAAAATTCATTAAATTCAGCCATTTCCCATTCCCCTCTTGCGCTTTATGCAGTATGGATGATATCTTGAACACTTACTAAATTACAGTAATGACAGAGAAACAGACTATTATTTGATGTCTGAATGCTTCCAGGAAGTTGCTGTGTGTATGACTGACTCAGTGGGAATGTACCCATACAATCAGTGTTTAGCTCAGTGGTCTTGGTGAAGAAAAGAACTTTCCCTCTCTGCAGGGACTTTTCTTCATTTTTTGTCCTATTTTAGTCAGTGTTTTCCCAGTGTGAGGCTGTTGTAGCTCAACAGCACCACCAACTGGAAAGCAAAAGCCCACACGCAGCTCCATTAATACCAACCAGTCATTCAGTGTTGTCGAACACCACATGCATAGAGTAAAACATAGTTTAGACGATGTTGTCACTGTTTCCTCATATGTTTGTAAACATCCCCAAATACATAAGAGCCATGACCTGTACCACATCAAATACTGGATTCTTGTATTCCCAGGGTCTGGTAGCTTATTTTCTTAGATTTACTATGACATCAAAATCATTATGTATGATCTATGTATTTCTTCAATGACTACATCTTGAAAATATTCACACCTATATTTCCGCTTTACCCAAATTTCTTTTGTGGATCAATTATGTACATCGGCCTATCTTTTTTTTTGTGCATGCTTTAGCTGGCTGCTCGGGAGGCTAAAGTGCGTGAGCTGGAGGAGGCTCTGTCCCGTGAAAGGGATATTATGCGCCGGCGCCTGGAAGAGAAGGACAGAGAGATGGCAGAAATGCGTCAGCGCATGCAAGAGCAGCTGGATGAGTACCAGGAGCTGCTGGACATCAAGCTGGCCCTGGACATGGAAATCAGTGCCTATAGGAAACTGCTGGAGGGAGAGGAAGAGAGGTGAGGTTAGAGGTGCAGATATGAGCTCACAAACTCAGCTTCATTTTATATGAAAAACTATTAATTTGGGCAGTATGTGTTGGAATATATTAGAATAAATACAAATAAGCATGCGTACAGTATTTTTTGGTCTGTGTGTTAGCTTAACCATTCCCAAAACTGGCAGCCCAGTGTGTGTAGTCACCATCCAACACCTGGGTGGACAAATCAATACTTATGTTAAATCCTAGATATTGTGGATAGTTTTACTGTGTTAATGTACATTTGTATTTATTCTAATGTAAAATAGTGATTTTCAAGGAAAAAATACTTTTTCAAAGTACAGTGCTTGTATGTTTAAAGGTCAGGTAATCTTCATGTAATTTCTGTCTCTGTCTCTCTCTCCAGGCTGCGTCTTTCCCCCAGTCCTCCTCCTACCAGGGTCATATCGGTCACTCGCTCCTCAGGCTCGGGCACACACGCTCAGACCCGCCTAGCTCAGAGCAGCAGCAGCCGCAACTCCTCTGGTAGTGCAAAGAAACGGCGCCTCAATGATACGGACAGCGATGCATCGAGTGTGGCAGGAGGGACAGTCACTCGCACCCGCATAACTCAGCAAGCCTCAGCCAGCGGCCGTGTCACTGTGGATGAGGTGGATCTGGAGGGCAAATACATCCGCCTCAGCAACAAAGCTGACCAGGTTAGAGGACAGAGATCAAGAATGATTTTGTCATCATCCCAACCATATAAAAGTATACAATAGAACAAAACAGTGTTGCTTCAGGGCGTCAAGACAGAGCCAGTGTTTACTTGACCATACATTGCAAGTGACCAAGTGAGCAGTTAACCAGTACAGTGCAGTACAATGCTAAATTACAATACAGAATTAAGCCCAACAATGAATACAGTACAGTAAATATACTGTATAAAGGGGTCTACTTGGTAACAAACCTGGCAGTGTACACACAGAATGCAAACTACTGTAAACTGTTTGAATCCTGTTATTTTAGTCTTTTTCTGATTTTTTATTTTTTTTTCACCTCCTCTCAGGACCAGTCTCTGGGTCACTGGCAGGTGAAGAGGCAGGTGGGCACCAGTACCCCCATTGTCTACAAGTTCCCACCCAAATTCACCCTTAAAGCTGGACAGTCAGTCACGGTGAGTGATTAGTAAACAAGTTTCTCTCTGGCTTTCTTTAGACTTTCATGAATATGAGATAACTGTTTAGGAGCAGTAGGAGCAGTTAAATTCTGTTTGATATAGATATAGCATTATATACTGACCATGATGTAGTAAACTATGCATTGGTAGATTCACTGAGGCAAGACATTTTCACCTGGTACATTATTTATTTTTTATCTTCTACATTATTTAGCTAAATGTGATTCCTTTAAAAATGAAGAACATAATATAAACTCAAGAACATAAAAGAAACAAACAAAAGCAAATGAAATGTTACAACAAAAGGCTTTAGACAGGAGGATTATTTTTAATATATGGAAATATTAAAAATATAAACGTTATAGCTGACATAGTTGAAAGCATCATAAATTCTTTTATTTATTTATTTATTTATTTTTTAGTGTTTTTCATTTCGAGTCATTTTCAGAACAAGTATTTGGGTAATTGTACTTGTTCTGAAGCCTGTAGAATTCTGTATTATAATATTATCTGGTACCCAGTCAGTATTTCTTGGCTTGTTTTTTTTTTATCACAACGCTGCACTACACCTTAATCATTTCACTCTCTTGTTCTCTCTGTGTGAAGATCTGGGCTGCTGGAGCTGGTGGGACTCATAACCCTCCTTCTGATCTAGTGTGGAAGACTCAGAACTCCTGGGGAACTGGAGATCTGTTCCAGACCACTCTGATTAGTGCCAATGGAGAGGTGGGTCTTCCTACCAATTCCTGCTGGCATTGCTGTTCAGGAAAATTAACCAGCTGTACCAAACCACAGCTTATTCTTGGACATATTCAGAAACAGCTTTAGCTCATTTATTTCTCTCTCTGCCTGTGTAGGAGATGGCAATGAGGAAAGTCACACGCACGCTATTCCAGGAAGAAGATGATGAAGAAATGGTCTGTAATCCTTCACGCTGACATTAACCCTAAAAACCTTTAAAGAGGAAACGGCTGGCTTTCAGCACATCCCTCCCTCGTTTTCTGCCTTCTCTCTGATCGGTTTCCCTCTGTCTCCCCCTGCAGGCAGCTCACAGTACGTGTGGGGACAGTGAGTATAACCTGCGCAGCCGCACGGTGATCTGTGGCTCATGTGGTCAGCCATCGGACAGGAACGCAGGCAGCTGTGTGTCTGCGAGCTCTGGAGTGTCCAGCGCTTCTCGCTCTTTCAGTAGCGGAGGAGGAGGACTGCCTGAGGGACTGGTCTCCCACTCCCACTTCATCATGGGTAGTGACAAACCCAGACAGGTACTGAATGAAACATATGTTTGAAAATATACACTATACAAAAGTGTCAGTTTTTTTTTACTTTATTTCGGTCTGCATACTTTTCTGTAGTTTCATACACTACCGTTCAGAAGTTCAGAATCATTGTTTAAAAGATAAGAACACCTGTTTTCAATAGTATAAAACATTTGGTTGTAGACATATGAATAATATAATTCTAATATTAAGTCTTGTTAGAGGTCTTAAAACATTAGTAGGTCAATAAGGAAGCTCTAAATTAAAATGAAGAAATTTTAGATGTGTCCAGAATGATGAAGGGAGCTGCCAAAGATTCTAAAACAGAGGTATCAAACACACAGCTCATGAGCCGGGACTTTTTATGGTTCTTATCTGGCTCGCCACATGAATTTAGAATCCACGTTCTCAATTAAGTTCATCTTGTGGACCATATTTGACCGTTTTCAAAATGCTGACTGACACAGTACTTAACCAGTCACTGCTTAGCAGCTGTCTCTAAGTGCTGCTTCTGTGGATGGAAAAACTTGATTTAGCAAAACTTGATTGCTACATATTTTTGTACTTGTATGCTTACATTTTTTGTGTTTTTGAGGTTTACTAAAAGACATATCCACGTCCAGTGTTACACCGACCAGCTTTGGTCTGACTGTCTTATCTGTTTTGTAGGTGAAATTTGATCAGTCAGTTTGTTCTTTCAGAATGTATCAGATAAATGAAAAGAAAATAAACCCAACTCTACTAAACTTCTTTTTTTTTTTCTTTGTCTGGCTCACTTGACATTGGTCATTACAGTTCATTGTGGTCCGTTACCTAAAATAAGTTTGACACCCCTGTTCTACAACATAACATCAGGAATAAATAATAAAATGAATATTGTATATGTGACTGTTATGTATGTATAAAATAACGAAAATGTTAAAAGGGCAAGTGATTGCGAACTTCTGAACATTAGTGAATATTTGAAAGCAAAAAAAAGACTCTTGTACTTGTCCTTGTTCTGTGGGTTCTTAATCGTCCTGTCATCTCTCTTTCTTTATAGGGAGGTCCTAAACCAGAGAACTGCTCCATCATGTAGATCCAGGAGCAGCCATGACGTCTGCCCAGAACAGAAAGCACTATTTGCACTGCGAAAACTGGGAGACACGTATATTTTTTTCTAACATCTAGCCATGGAGATTTTTTTTTATTTTCATACTTTATACTTAAATCAGTCTTATTTTGTATGTAATAATCTGCAGGATAGATTAATAGCTTTTGTATGGCTGAGGGCATGGAGGCGGCTTGGGTGCTATATAGGGTTTGTATATATACAGTAGTCTAGGTTAGTCTTGCATGTGGGCTTGGCAGCTGTTTTTCAATAGCCATGTTCAAGGAGAGGGGTTAGCAGAACACTTGAAACATATCCAAAGATGAGGATCCGCCTTAGGCTTTCCTATCGAATGCTGTCACAACTCAACACGCACATCATGGTTTCCCTGTCAGCAAGTTTACTCGAATAGGATCAGGAGTGTACTTGAACGTACTGTAAAGCCATGTTTTGCCACTTTTACCAAAAGTTTGTCATAATTCACTTTAGAGGACAAATTTCCAACACTAATAATGAACATAGAAATTCTGAAATCATGCAGTGCAGTTAATGCAGTCTTAAAGTAAGACTGTTTTGACTGCATCATTCTGTTTAAAAAGCCTTTGTAGTGCCTTTAAGAATGTACTGTTTTGCAGCTTTAAATGTCCTGTGTACTGTGTAAATGGTACCCCTAAGGTAGTGTTCTTATACTGAAGAAATAATGGGGAATGTTAAAAATGCAGGGGAAGAAAAAAGAGAAATGTATTAAGTAATTGCTTTTGGAAGTTTTCAGACCAGTGGGACGAAGTGTGGATTATGTGGGCTTTGGCCATAAGTCGTTTAAAAGTATTTTGGGTATCAATAGTTAGTAGTTGTTGAAAATATTTTGGAGTGATTAAATTTCTAGCTTACAAAGACCTATATCTATATATATATATATATATATATATATATATATATAAAATGTTGTTGCTATTAGTAACTGAAACTTCATTTTAATGAATGAAGATGTTTCTTTGTGAGAGGTGTTAGTTGGACCCCTATGGTAGATGATGGAGTTTATTGTATGCTCTTGCATGGACAGTTGGAAGTGCTGATATGTTAGTGTTCTCGCACCGCTTTCTTGCTATGACTTCATGGGTGTCCTCCACCTGTACCTGAGATTTATATATATATATATATATATATATATATATATATATATATATTTAATATAAAATAAAAAGGGGTGGACTGGACACTCCTAGCTTGGCTGAAGCTTTTTCCGCCATTTTATTATGCTGCAGTGCTAGTGGTAGATACGGATTTTGGTCAGGCAGAGCAATGCTATCTGTTTTCAGCTTTTACAAATGAATTTGAGAGCAACTGTGATTTTGTCTTTTGGGTAAAGGTGAATCGGCACCACAGATACCACTTTTGAAATGGAAACACATTTGATAGATTGTTGAGAATTGATCATCTAGCAGACATTCATATTGATACTTTTTGTTTTGTAAGATCCAAAGACATTTTTTTTTGTACATCTGGGTGAAGGGGGATTATGCTTGCATCTAGGAATATTTTTTTTTTTATCCCCTCAGGATCTTGAAAGTCTGTTGTTCATGTAATGGTAATAGTTTTTTTTTTTGCTTTTTTGTAGTTCAAGTTTGCATTGCCTTGCTTTATAAAGCACTTTTTTAAAAAAAAGAAAAAGAAATTACTAGTCTGTACTGAATATGGAATTTCATTACTGATGTAAAATGTGTACACATAACAGTGCCTTGAATTCGTTCAGTAAAACTGTTATTTTTGTAGTTCATTTCCTTTGGACTTCCCCTTTCCAAGTGTTTGAAAGCTTAACAGACCCTCAGAAGCAGTGCCATAGTTGCTGCAGTACTGACCTCCCTAAAGGGATAGAGTGTACTTTGTTGTTTGTGAGTCAAATTTTGTAGCTTTGTGATGTGCAAGCCTTCTGCCAAGAAATGGCCTGTTTTATTATTCTGTTAAAACACTGCATCAACAAGATCCACTTTGAGTTAATGTAATGTCTTTTTGCAGTTCTGATCCGTCTTCCATCTGTCAGAGCACACTGACAAAAATGACTACATCAAAATCTCATCCAAGCTTTATTTACAATATTTACAGTTCTTAAAAGATTACATTCGACTGACATTCAAAGCAGAGGTTGTATAATGTAAATGCATTGGAAAATGTAAAACCTGACAAAAAACATCCAAAGCAGATTACATAGCTGTGATGAAAATGTAATATTTACCTCTTGATAGTTCTTTTGTATTTAAAAATTTTAACATCTCCCAAATAATACCACATCATACCTCTGAAAATCAATATGCAAAGCAATTGAAACCTTGTTGTACAGAGACATGCTTTAAAGAACTGAGAAAATGGGTTCAGCTGTTCATAGTGTTTTGTATAGTCACTGTTCAGTTCAGCAGATGGCAGTGTTGTGCTTTTGCGGCTTTGTAAAAGTTCTCTATGGACGCCATTTGGGCTGTTCAAGGTCTAGCTTACTTTACCCAAATCTGGATCTTGGTCATTAGAAATCAGTCTTAGATCAGGAAACGTAACTTCCATCAACATTCAAAAGAGGTCCCCTTGCAAATGCTGTATAGTTAGGTAAGTTTATCTTCTATAACCACTTTACTATCCAAAAAGAGGATAACATTTAGTTCTCTGTTTTGTGAGAAAGCTACAGAGGTGATTATGGACGTGGTTGTGCTTCAGAGAAGTCTGTTCCATCCAGTCTTTACACTTGAGTGGGGTCAGTGGGGAAGTCTCCGTGGCGAAGGAGAGGGCGGCCTGCGTACTGGCGGCAGGTCATAATGTCCTGGGATGTGGCTGTTGACTGGCAGGTCGTAATGGTTCTGGGGCTCCTGTTCCAGAACGTTTCCAAGGGGACACTGTTCTGAAAAATGGAGATGGAACACTTTAGGTCCAAACCAAACAATAATTGGCACATTGCTTGCTCCTGTCTCATAAAACATTCCATAAAAAGCCATTATTCAACTCATTCAAATGTCTGTGAGAAGCAAAATGCATAATCCCTGGGGTGGATTTAAAACTAGGGCTGGGCAATACTAATAAAATCCAATATCACAGTCATTTCCAAATATATGAGGGTATCACTGTATCAGAAGATGTATATGTTTTCGTTAATAAATGTAATGACCTTGTGTGTCCTGTATGCAGCTTCTCTATCTAGAATATCTTACAATATATTTTAGCAGTTTGAGCAATTTCAGAAATTGGCCAACTGCCTTAATTAGGAGTTAAATGAGTGCACCTGTGGCTGTATTTAACAGTCTACTGTTAGACCAGTGCCTTCTTGCCCTTGATACCATGGAAAAATCCAAGCAACTCAGCTAAGACCTCAAAAAAATCAACTTCCAGGGCCAAACAAACGTTAGTCCGAAAGGTTAAACTGAACCCTAAGACAACTACAAAGGAACCAGGATAAACATCTAACCTTTTGGAGGAGTGTTCACTAGTCAGAAGAAACAAAAATTGAACTGTTTGGCCATAGTGATCAGTGTTATGTGTTCATGAAAAAGATTGAGGCTTTTAATTAAAAAAAAAAACACCATCCCAACTGTAAAGCATGGGGATGGCAGAATTATGTTGTGAGGATGTTTTGCTGGAAATGTACGGAGCCCTGCTGGTAAAATCCTGTATAAGTAAGCATAATGCATGGCCACGACTTAGTAAGGCATGGTAACAAGATCCTAATGCGTAGCCACGTCTTAATAAGGTGTGGGAATGAGACAATTAAGCTTTGACCACAGCTTAATGAGGCATGATCTCGTTCCTATGCCTTACTAAGTCATGGCCAAGCATTAGGATCTTGTTCCCATGCCTTCCTAAGTTGTAGCCACGACTTAATTATCTCGTTCCCACTCTTTACTAAGTCGCAGCCACGCATTATTTTTGCTCATATGGGACGTCACCAGCAGGGCTCTGCAGAAATGATCCTGAGCATTCCTCTAAAGCTGTGGTAAAATGGCTCAACTCAATTAATGCTGAAAGTAAGTAAAGTGAAAGATAAAATGATGTAGATGTAATCTTCTTTTTATTCGTTTTGAAATGATGTACAGATTCCTTATTTCCAGTGGTGAAGAAAGTTAAACCGAGCTGCAATGAACTAGTTCACTACAGGTATTGTAGTTACTCAGACAGATGTTGAGACACTCTCACCCCCTCCTTTTAGCTCCCGTCTCTGCTATTATTGCCTTTTTTTCCTCTCCCTCTGCACTCGGGTGACCTCTGTACTTTTCCAGCACTTCAGCCCGCACTACATTTATTCTCCAAGAGAAGACAACCCACTCTTCTATCAGCACTTAAACATGCATCCATCGGCACGGAGCGCTAGGAAGGATTAATGCACACTTACTGGTCTAAGCAGCTTCTGAAAAAATGAGCTGATGTAGCAAATGATAACTTCCTCTAAAAATCCACCCCTCACCTCCCAGGTACAGTTGGACAGTAAGCTAGGAGACTTGCCAGATTTAGTGTAGCTCTCAAGTCCATCACTACTGATAAGAAGCTATTATTCATGACTTTGGATTGTAGTTTTGTATATTTTTTTGGGGTCCACACACAATTATGGGCTCTGGTCTTAGCTCCTCTTACCCTCCTCTTAGGGAGATAAATGTGGTTCAGTATGGGTTACCTCTGGAGGAGATGCTGGTGGAGGGGACGGCTGGAGGGCTGATCTCTGTATAGGATCTCTCATGAGGAACAGCAGATTTCATCTCCATATAACTGCTCTCGGGAGGGCATGGAGGAAGACCAGGCAGATCTTTTATGGTGGCATATGGGTTCTCACTGTTCAGAGAACTGCTGCTCACAGCAACGCATGAGTCCTTTAACTCTGCAAAAAAATGAGAAAAGAAGGCATACTAAGAACTAACACACATTCAAATTAATTTGTAATCACAAGCAAAGAACATATGTACTGTAAATAGCGCTTACGTTTGTTGTAGTATTTCCCAAGACTGGCACTGTAGCTGTAACTACGGTCTATTCCAAACGCTCCTGCAATGCAGCAAGTGAGAAGAATTCAAACTACAAGCCAAAATCGCTAAAGGAAGAATGAGATATTAACATTAATTGCCTAATGAAAAACACAGTAATGAGACATGCCTTGGTCTTTAGGAGGCTCCTGGTGTTTCCAGTCAGCAGGTAAAGTAGCATTAGTCTCCACACCAAACAGGCCTCTTCTCTCTCGCTCCATGTTCTTCAGGCTACAGAATAGCTGCTTATTGGTGTTCTGGGACGATAAAAAATATTAGAACAATTAAATAATAACAAATAAAAAGTTCTACCTTTTAAATGAGGTAAACTTTAAGGTACAAAAGAGTCTTGAGTCCTGACGGTCAGTTTCTGGACATTTTTAAGCAGTGATTTCCACTGCTCAATCTGTACCAGGAAAAACCAGGCCTGGCCAGGAAAAATATTATGTCTAAGTGAAGTCACTATCATAACATCATTTACCTTGATGACCCGGTCCTGGTTGTTGGGGACATGGGGTAAAGGAGGTCTGTTCTGGGAGAGTGTGTGATAGCTAGGGTTTGAGTAGTAATGATGGTAGCTGTGTGGAACATCTAAAGCAAACAAAAACAAGCAAAAAACAAAGGAGAAAAAAACAAGCAGAACAGGAAAAATTAAATGACACTTTGTATCTCCCCAGATTTAGCAACAAACATCAACAAAAAAAATTTGAAAAAAGAATTCTATTATTAACTTTTGGTCAGACACATGAATTGACCTACAACACCACAATAAGAGAGACAAAAGAAAAGCTATTGTGCATCTGTTGCTGAGAATTGGCTGCCATTACACATTATGTTC